TTATGTATTAATTTCTTATAAATATTTAAATAAAATTTATTATTATTTTTAATATTTTAATTGTTAAATCATTCTAATGAATCAAAAAATTGTTAAATCATTTTAATTTTCCTCAATTTTTTTTTATTTTAAACATTAAAAATGTGTTAATGCACTCCACTATATTTGTAATTTCTGAATGAAAAGGTTCCTTTAACATACGGCAATCACTTTTCATCTAAAATTTTATTGTTTAATATAATTTATATTATAAAATTGACAAAATTGTGTTTATAAATACATATTTATATTTTAAATATATATTTTAAAATCTACCATTTGAATTAGATAAAAAAATAAAAATTGAAATTTATATATATTTTTTAAATGATCATCAAACATTTCATCACATTTTTAACACCAATGGAGATGACGTTCCTATATGACTATATATTTACAAGGACGAGAGATCTAGGCTCTAGATTTTGTGAAAATGGTTGTCTTATAGCCTCTAGTTATGTACCCAATCGAGCCTCCAGTGGCGGAACAACTAAAGAGAAAGGTCCATTAAATTTTCTCCTTGGCAGGTGACTCTACCAAACATGCATTATATTGAAACTCAATCTGCACTCCTCCTCTGCGCCCCTGCCCTTACCGCCTGCACCATGCCTACTGCACCAAAAAATTATATTGAAACTCAATGTGCTTTGAATGTTTTATATTTCGATAGGTACTTAGAACTTATTTGATATAATGGTTAAAATTTAGTAAATAGTAGGTAGTTGATGTAAGTTAGTGAATAATAAAAAGCCCATAGTGGATTGTAGATTTTAAATTTTGATTAGCATTTTATTTATCTTAAAGTAATTGTTATTTTTTAAAAAAATTTTAAATTAAAGATTTGAACATAATAGTTGTATTTATCTATAGTATATTTTTTAAAAAAATTAAAAAAAAATAAAAATTTGTGATTAGACAATAAATTAAAATAAATGAATAATAAGGTTAAAATAGGGGAAAAAAATATTAGTTTACTTTGAAAATAAAAAAAATGATAATTAATTTGAGACAAATTTAAAATAAAAAAACAGTTTTTTTGAGATGAAATAAGTATAATAGTTTAGATAAACAACAGTTCAAAGATTATTATTAATATTAAATAATTAATAAAGATATATGTATATAAATGCAATTAAGTTTTTTTTTTATATTTTTATTATTAAAATTATTAACTTTATTAAAATAATAAATAAATAAAATAAAATAACTATTGTTAGATGCAAACTTACTTATTACTTATTATGTTTTAAAATAACTTATATTTTTTTATTTTGAATTTATCTTAAATTAATTGTTATTTTTTTATTTTTTAAAGTTGATAAATTTTTTTTCTTAGACTAACACTAGTATTATCTATTTGTTTTAATTAATTATCATATCATAAAAATTTTGAATTTCTCTTTTAATTTTTTTCTAAAAGTAATATAAATAAGGAATCAAAATTTCTTTAAGTCTCTAATTTAGAGAAAAAGTCAAAAAATAAAGAATTATTTTAGAATAAAAAGAGGGTTAAAATCCAATAAGACGATTGGTTGGTCATTGGATTAAAGTAGGATTAGACATAAAAATTTATTATATGTATAGACAAGAATGCCCTTACATTATAATTAAACTTAATAAAATCATATTTTAATTTGTTTTCGACTTAATCATATTAACATTTAACAGTAAAATTTATTAAGATAATTATCATCAATTATTTTTGCAGAAAAAAAAATACAATCAGTTTATGGATTAATTGCCCATAACTTGTATAACAAAATAATATTTGATTATTATCTACATTTTTCATTGTTTGTTCCAGAAAAAAAAAAAAAAACATTTTTCATTGTTTTCACGCAACCCAACAAGTCAAAACTACAAAACTGGAGTGGATGGCTGTTCAAGAAGAAATCGGAGACTACCACCTCAAAGTTGTCTATGACTACCTTGCTGAATTCTTGCAATTGATGTGGTTGATGTTTTCCGATCAGATAGAAATTGAGGAAGGAAGGGGGAGGTGGAAGACTGGAAAATGGAGAAAAATTAACCAGGAGGAAAGATGAAGAAGCTATTCGTCCGGCTACTCACGGGGATGGATTTCGGCGTGCGGTCGGCGCTATGCCGATGTGCGCCACCTACAATTGAAAGAAGGATTGACGAAAAAGTAAAAAACAAGAAACCACAATAGGATCGTGGAGATAAATAAGGGTAAAAAGTTAAAATTCAATCTTACTCCAACTAAACTCGTACGGGGAGTTGGGTTACATTTTGTGAAAGAATGTCAGCATTGGATAAAACATAGGACAATAAATTTTTTTTTTTGAACAGGGCAATTTGAAAGAATGAGGAATGAAATCTATAGTTTGTAGGGTTTAAACACGCATTAAGAAGGGATGCTTATCATTTTAACCAAGAATTTTGACAATTGGGTCAAGGCATGAGGATCAATATAGACAACAATTATTCCATTTTTTTACCCTACCAAACGTGGGTTGTAGTGAGAAGAGACAAAATTTTATCCTTTGAACATATTACAACTTTAGGGGTGAAAGGATTCAAAACTTAACTTTTAGATTAAGGGTACATTTATAATATGATTTATAATTATCAGGTTAAAAAAAGACTAGATATTAGTTTTGAGGTGTTTTAAACTAATTTAAAAAAAAACTCATATTTATGTTAATGTAAACTAATAACAGTTAATATTGATTTTATAATTAAAATAATTCACGGTTAAATGTTATTTTTTAATTATTTACTAACGGTTAATATTAAATCTTTACATTAAACACTCCCTAAGCATCATAATGATTATTTTTTCCAATGTGGGAGGACCGGGAGCATTTTTACAAAGTTTGGGACCTTTTTAGCATTAAGTTCAATTAGATTTGGGGGGCTAAATTAAAAAAGTAGTAAATTTGAGGGCTAACTTAGTCCTTTTCCGAGAAAATGAATGATGACGTGGAAGGATCAGAAATATCAAAACCATAGACGGCTGAGCCGAACTCTTTCTCTAGGACCGTGCGATCAAATAATCCAACGGCTCAAAGAAAAACCCTAATTACATTCAACCCCAAACACCACTACTTAAGCTGAAGCAGCCCACAGCTCTCGTCCTCTTCCGCTTGCTGCCTACGCTCTCTTTCTCTGCAGGAGGGCTTCCGGTCAAGCGATTTCAAGACTCCTTTGTTAACTCAGAGGTATGCACTTCTCCTTCTTCTTCTTCTTCATGTTGCTCTGATTTCAAGGAAAGCCGATTTCATCTTCTTTCTCTGTATTGTTTTTGTGTGTGCCTTTTTTTTGATCATTTCGTTTGTTGTTTGTTGTTTGATTAGATCTTTTGGTTCATAGATGGACTGAGATGTGTGTTTGAGATTTTGATCTGATTCTAAGTGTTGTTTGGTTTTGGATTTGTTATTACAGAATCTTTTAATTTTGATGTTTAGTGAAATCTGGTATGATTTTGTTCCTCTGAAATGTTTGTGAGTCAGTTTCTGGGAAACGCAACTTCAGAAACAAATTATTGGCTAAGAAACCACTGTGATCGATTTTTGTCGGCTCTTTTTTGGCTCAGTTGTTTTTATTGGTTAAAATATATATGATTGTTGTGTGGCTGTAGTTCATTTGAGGATACCTGGGTTCAAATCCAAGCAGCCACTTCTGTTTTCTTTTATTTATCTTTTGATTGTTTGAATTTGATCCTTATTCCTTATGTAATTGTTAAATGTTGGGGAATTTGACTGATGTTCATGTGTGTATGTGTTATTTGAGTGTAGTATCATGATCGAAATTTGAAATTTGAAATTTGTGATCGCCAGGATTGAATCTGTTGGTGATTTAATGTGTTTTGAATTGCAGATTCTTTCCCAAATTTTCTAATGGGTAAGGAGAAGGTTCACATTAACATTGTTGTTATTGGCCATGTCGACTCTGGAAAGTCGACAACCACTGGTCACTTGATCTACAAGCTCGGTGGTATTGACAAGCGTGTGATTGAGAGGTTCGAGAAGGAGGCTGCTGAGATGAACAAAAGATCATTCAAGTATGCCTGGGTGCTGGACAAGCTTAAGGCTGAGCGTGAGCGTGGTATTACCATTGATATTGCACTCTGGAAGTTTGAGACTACCAAGTACTACTGCACTGTCATTGATGCTCCTGGACATCGTGACTTTATCAAGAACATGATTACTGGTACCTCACAGGCTGATTGTGCCGTTCTGATTATTGACTCCACCACTGGTGGTTTTGAAGCTGGTATCTCTAAGGATGGTCAGACTCGTGAGCATGCATTGCTTGCTTTTACTCTCGGTGTCAAGCAGATGATTTGCTGCTGCAACAAGGTGAGATTTAGTGTCTACTCTTTTTTTTTTTTCTCTCAGGTTTATCTTTATATTATAAAATATTGATTTGCCTCCAAGATCAGCTTTCTGATATTCCTTTTTTATGTTAACTGATTTTTCTTATGGCCTACTTGCAGATGGATGCCACAACCCCTAAATACTCTAAGGCAAGGTATGATGAAATTGTTAAGGAAGTCTCTTCCTACCTCAAGAAGGTTGGTTACAACCCTGACAAGATCCCATTCGTCCCCATCTCTGGTTTTGAGGGTGACAACATGATTGAGAGGTCTACCAACCTTGACTGGTACAAGGGTCCTACCCTCCTTGAGGCTCTTGACTTGATTCAGGAGCCCAAGAGGCCCTCAGACAAGCCACTTCGTCTCCCACTTCAGGATGTCTACAAGATTGGTGGCATTGGAACTGTCCCTGTTGGTCGTGTTGAGACTGGTATCCTCAAGCCTGGTATGGTTGTGACCTTCGGTCCCTCTGGTCTCACCACTGAAGTTAAGTCTGTTGAGATGCACCATGAAGCCCTCCAGGAGGCTCTCCCTGGTGACAATGTTGGGTTTAACGTGAAGAATGTTGC